CTATGGTTCATCCTATAAGGGTACATGTGAATCTCTCTAAATGCAAAATATAAATGTCTTAACACGATAACTAAGAAAAAGACATGAAGGCTATGTTAACCAGTTGGATGAAAGTATTTCAAATTGCATATAGAAACAGTACACTGTACCACATGATAGTATTAATGTACACTGCTATGATTTAATTAAAAATTAAAAATTACCTCTTTACCAAATTTTGCAAATAAAGCAAAGCAAGAATATTTTTCTGGGTCCTCAGGAGAGTGTTTCAGACTCTTTGGACTAACTCCCTGTCAAATAAAATGACAAATTAGTACACTGGGCAAGAGTCAGGTGATCTGTGACCTAACCCAGGCTAGGCTGTCTCCCAGGTTACTTCCTCTTCATTCAGAGGAATGAATCTGCTTCAATTTACCAAAGTCTAGAGCAGAGAGGAGGGAGAACTGGCTCTGAGAGGAGGGAAGATGGGCAGCTATTCAAAAGCCACTCCACCACCCAGTCTCCCCTCACATGACTAATTATACCTCCAGCATGCCAGCTAACCAAGTCTTCTTCCACCTCGTTGGGCACTAGAATCATGTGTGCTCATGGCATAGATATCTGCGCCCTGCCCCCAGGGTTTATGAGGAGGGAAGTCTGAGACTTCCAAAGTAACACTCAAGTGCTACTATTCCCAGGACCACATTTTGAGAAGCCTCATTAATCTTACATAATTAGCCAGGTGCTTGAAAATCGGGAAGGAAAACGCCACTCGCTTTTTTAGGAGTTTGTCAGTCACATATCAAGTTTTAAAAATATATAAAATAAAAATTAGTAGATTTTAAAACTGTATGTTATAATCAAGCACCTTATAAAAAAGCATTTACGCATGTTCGTGCAACCTAAAATATATAGAATTGTTCAATATCCTCTAAAAAAGACTCACCTCAAAATATTTTATTTTCTTGGCATTTTTCACTGCAATAGAAAGCAGTTTGTAGAAACCACTGATGAGGGGCAACCGCACAGACTGCAACACTAACTCATACGCAAATGAGTACACCCAAGGCTCAAAGAACCCTACTTGTTTCTCAGGGAGAATCTCTCTGTAAAAACAAATTAAAGCTTAAGGTAGAAATTTTTATCATGCTAATTTTTAGTCGGCTTTAAAATTATACAGAACAAAAACTATTATGGACTACAATTCCATTATATAACACAGAGTAGGTATATCTCTACTCCATTTTTCTCTACCGGAGAATCTTTTAAATATTAAAAAAAGAACTCTAAGCTGGTACATTTAGATATATTTTAAAGGTCCATACAACTGATTTTATCTTTTACTATTTCACTTCTTAGATCTACATAAGGGTATTTCGTATATTATAAAGCTAATAAATTTTCACTCTTAAATAATTAGAATTTTACAAAATACCTGCATAATTCCACCAGGTTAATGAAAGCTGAAAAGTCTTTAGGTTTAGCAGGATGTAAATTTGCAGCTGGATCTGAAGTTGGGAACACATGAACACCAGCAGTTCCATCTCCATCCTAAAAATGAATTGTATCGAACACTATACCATGCAATCATGAGTCATTCAAGAAATAACATCTTAATTAACTTCATGGTCAAGGCCTGATGTTGTGATGAAAGATACACAAGTGAGAAAGACAGAATGGATCCTCAGGAGCTCGCAGTCTGATAAGAAGGACAGAACTTGGCTCAGCACCCATAACACAGTGGTTACAGCGCCGGTCACATGCACTGAGGGTGGCGGGTTCGAACCTGACCAGGGTCGGCTAAACAACGACAACTGCAACAAAAAAATAGCCGAGCATTGTAGTGGGTGCCTACAGTACCAGCTGCTTGGGAGGCTGAGGTAAGAGAATCGCTTAAGCCCAAAAGTCTGAGGTTGCTGTGAGCTGTGATGCTACAGCACTCTACCAAGGGCGACATAATAAGACTTTGTCTCAAAAAAAAAGGGACAGAATTCAGGGGAAATGATAACAGATGAGGACAAATACAAAGGAACAACCAATAATGCTTTGACAGGGACAGTATTTCAAAAGGTAACTTGGAGTTTTCAAGCTGGGAAATAGAAAAATGACAGTAATAAATGAAAAAAATGATTTGGGGCAAGCATATGAATTTCAATTGTCTGTTTCCTGTTGTTTTAATGTCAAGTAGGTCTTGCTCTGCTATCTGGGCTGGAGTTCAGCAGCATGATCATGGTCAGAGTAACCATAATTCCTAGGCTCAAGCAATCCCTCTGCTGAGACTGTGCACAGCGCCACACCTGACCTTCCTCACTAGCCACGGCCTCCAGTTCCTACCAACTCCTCAGACAAGAGCAGGGCAACTCCTTGCCAGCAACTTTAAGTCATGACTTAGGATATAAGGACGTGGTACAGAAAAAGGAGAGGGCATTTTCTTCTTTATCTGCCTATTACTCCAATTTTAAGTTTCCTTAACTATAAACAAGAAACCCAGTCTTCCCTACCCTACTGCAGAATGTCACTTCTATACAAAATAAGATTTATTTATTTATTTATTTATTTTTTGAGACAGAGCCTCAAGCTATCCCCCTGGGTAGAGTGCTATGGCATCACAGCTCATAGCAACCTCCAACTCCTGGGCTCAAGTAAGTCTCCTGCCTCAGCCTCCCAAGTAGCTGGGACCACAGGCGCCCGCCACAACGCCCGGCTATTTTTTGGTTGCAGCTGGCATTGTTGTTTGGCAGGCCCGGGCTGGATTCAAACCCGCCACCTTAGGTGTATGTGGCTGGCACCTTAGCCACTTGAGCCACAGGAATTGAGCGAAAAATAAGATTTATATCACTCTTTACTATTGCTAAGGAATGAGAAACACATCTGGTAAATAACTTTTTCAAAAAAAAATTTTAACATAAACATATAAATTACTTTTTGAACAATTTAGTAACATCATTATTATTATTATTTTTACTTTTCTTTTTTTTTTGAGACAGTCTCAGTATGTCACCCTCAGTAGAGTGCGTGGTGTCACAGCTCACAGTGACCTTGAACTCTTGGGCTTAAGCGATTCTCTTGCCTCAGCCTCTTGAGTAGTTGAGACTACAGGCACGCACCACAATACCCAGCTATTTTTTTGTTACAGTTGTTTAGCTGGCCTGCCCTGGGTTTAAACCCGCTCCCCTCAGTGTATGTGGCTGGTGCCATAACCACTGTGTTACGGGCACCGAGGCTGGTAACATTATTTTTACATTAGGCAACATCTAATTGAAAAATATCGATAGCACATAATCCTGAAGAAACCAATTTTCTTTAGTCCCCTACAAACGTGCTATACCCCCCTGAATATTTACACGCAAAGAGAGCCGGTATAAAAATGATACAGAAGTATGGGCAAGAACTTCTTACCTCTTGTTCCCCAACTATCTGTGATTCTAATGTTAGATCTAATTTCTCAATGATCTTCAAAACAGATTTTATAAATTCATCATACAGTAAACGGTTCAGACTTTGAAGGGAGGAATTCACTAAGAAAAATGCTTCATCTGCTATGATAGAATCCTTTTAATAAAGAAAAACAATAAACTTTAAAATCCTGTGCAAAAAGCATTAGTATATTTTATCAGCATTAATACACATATACATATATATTTAGGCATTATGAAAAATAATGTATAAACTGTTTTCAATCTGCAAAATTTAGATACCGTCCTTATTTTTATGTTTTTTGAGACAGAGTCTCACTTTTTCCCCCTGGGTAGAGTGCCGTGGCATCACAGCTCACAGCAACCTCAAACTCCTGCGTTTAAGTGATTCTCTTGCCTCAACCTCCCAAGTAGCTAGGACTACAGGCACTCACTACAATGCCCAGCTATTTTTAGAGATGGAATCTCACTGTGGTTTAGGCTGGTCTTGTACCTATTAAGCTCAGGCAATCCATCTGCCTCAGCCTCCCAAGTGCTGGGATTACAGGCATGAGCCACTGAGCCCGGTCAAAATTTAGATATCTTCCTAACTGATGACAACACCACTTCAGCCAGATAATGAGGCTTACCTAGTATGCAGTAAATACTTATTCTGAACATAGTAGTGATCATGATTTATGCCAGCCCTCATCAAAGCATTTATTCCAATTATTTGGGTCTATATGTGTAAACATACATATGTATAATATATACATACATACACTATTTTTTATGTTTCTATACCTTTATGTACATGTACAGATATCTATGTGCATATATAATATATGTATATATACATATACATATGGATAAATATTTTTATACATCTTCAGAATGGATTTAAAGGTATAATCTGTCATTTCTTTGAAAGTGTTCACCATTCTAAAATTATACACCAATTACTCTGCCTATAATAAAATAGTTAAGCATTTTACAGAACTTAACCTCAAAATATAGAAAATCTAATATACATTAAAAAAAGATTTAGGTAAAATCACTAAAGCTGCTATACTGTTTTACTAGGGGGAGAGGGAAGGATGAGGAGGATTTAATAGGCACAATGTAGGGGTACACAGCACATCACCTGGGTGCAGGACACAATTACAACAGGGACCTCGCCTAACAAACACAAACACTAATCATTTGTACCCTCATTTTAATCTGAAACTTAAAAAAGCAAAATTAAATAAAATACTAGCCACAGACGGGTTAAGGCAGACACCAAAGAAACATCTGCTAGAAACATACTAGGTAGGAAGTAAGATTCCAGTCATAAGTGACGTAAATAACAGCTGGGCACCAATCCCCTTCATACCTACTGAACCTATCGAATTTATTCTCATCTTTAGCAAATAAAAAAGAGAATAGCTCTTTTATGGCAATAATACTAGTAATATCTTTTGCTACCTAAGAGGCTAGCCCTGTTAGACTTAGTATCAACTGTTGTACTCTGCTACTTGAGAGGGAAGATGAGGGCTCAGTGGCAGGAACTAACTAATGTTAAAAGAGATCTGTTTGTGGTCCCTTCAACTCATTTTTTTTTCTAGTCTCACTTTAACTGTCCTGATTTAGACTGCTTAATTCTTTATTAGTTGAAGTACGTGTTTTAAAAAAACATTTGAAAGTTAGTAAAATGTAATTCCAAAATAAGTAAGTCTTAAGTCTAAAATTAACTAGATTAAGAATGAGAGGTACTTTCATGGCTTTCAAACTATAAACTTTACCATCATCTGGTCACAGCTCAGGAGATTTCTAAAAAGATCGACATAATCTCTGCACGTAGGCGTTTTCCATTTCCCAGTTCTGACATCCCCCAAGGCATGAGGGTCCTCAGATATAGGCTCAGCACCCTGGCAGGGACAGTAACAGGCCAATATTTACTGATGGAGTCATAAAAACAGCAACACTGCCAGAACTTGTTAATTTTCTCAATTTTCTGAGCTAAAACAGCTATCCACAGGAGATTATATAATTAGATTAAGGAAGATATATTAGGAAAGCACAATAAAAAGCTCAAAAAAGTTCTGACTCTTCTGTGACTAAAACTGTGAAGCACCAAAAAACTCTTCAACACATACCCCTGAATGTGCTATAAATCATTTGTCTCACTTTCTCACACAGTTCAGTCTTTCATCTCAACCTCTTTCCTGCAATTTCTAGGATCTAAGACACGCCTCCCATATTATAAACAGACATTTTGTTCTAGAGAGACTCAAGACAGAAAACATTTCCCTCTTGTAAAAATGTAAAGAGTAAAGTTATGCTTAAAGATGTTTCATTCCTTAGGAGAAGTGTTTTCACCTAATAAAATATAGCAGTATTATCTTCTACACTTTTCTAAATGCGACGCATGACTAAGAACTAATAAAGGACATAAAACCTCACCGTCATTTCTTTCAGTAATAAAAGATTAATTTGTAAAACTTTATATTCAGAATTTACCTTTTGAAGGATCACTGGTTTAGAACATATTCTGATTAAACTCTGATGCACTGAAAAAAGAAAATAAAAATGAAGGAAATAGTAAAATATACAAACACTCAATAAAAACAACAGTCATTCATTTTTGGAACCTAAATTTACCTCTCAATTGCTTTTCTAAATTCATTAATACCTTTAGTTTTAAAAGCTGAACTATGAAGATTCAGAAGTAAAATGATGAAAGAGATTTTGGTCTACTAAACTTTAGGAGTTCATCAAAAGGCATCAAAGATACAACAACCAGATTTTCTTTACCTACATCAAATAGCATGTTAATTATTCATCATAAATACAAGAAACAATCACAAACTTACCCACGGTACTAATACAGTTCCAGAGGACTGGTCCTTTTTCTGCTAAGGCCAGGAACATCTTTACCATGGCTCTACAGCACACCAACTGCATCTTTGGACTATACTGTGGGAAACTGTCTATCTGCACCACCATGAGATGCTCCAGAACTGGGGTGTACACCTCAGGAAGCTGCCAGAATGGAAAATAAACTAATAATTAGAGGGGGGGAATAAATAAATATAGGAATAATACATATACACAAAGTAATTACAACTGAATTAGACACATATTAGATAAATGGAAAATATGGCTCATTATCTAATCAACTTAAGCTTAACATTTATTATACTGATTGTCAAAAAAAAAAAAAAACCCAGAATAAAACTGCCTTAAGGTGCAATTCTAGCCCAAGTGGCGATTCTTAACCTTTTAGAAAGATGAAAATAATAATGAATATTTTTTCCGGCTCTGTACAACAAAACAATCAAGTTTCATGGTGATAACTCTGTTGACACAAAATAATGACTAAAAACATCATGCTGATCACAATTACTGCCTGCACTAAATGCATCAAAGAGTTTGAAGAAAAGATCAAATACTTAACATTGTGCTCAGTTTAACTTAACCACAGCACTCACTGTGTCAAGGCAAAGCAGCACGCTTGCAATGGACTGGAGGAAACTGGGCATCTGGTACACATGGTCCTCAGCAGCGTCCACCTGCGTGAGGAACATCTGCTTGCAGCGCTGAAGGAGCTCAATGTACATGAAGTCCACATCTTGTGCATTTACAACCTTGCAAGGCTTTAGGAAAGGTAAAGCAGAAGTCTATTTATCATATCAAGACAATGACATTTCAGGTGTCATGGTCATGTTAAGCCATAGGATTATAAACTGATATTAACAAGCTTTTTAACCAAGAAATATAGTTTAAAATACAGTATCATATAAAGATGCTCTTTATAATAACCTGCGATTGCACTCTGACCACAGTCAGTTATGTACTAGGTACTCTTTAGATAGTGACTATCAAAGACAAATGAGGGGGCTCGGCGCCTATAGCTCAACTGGCTAAGGCGCCAGCCACGTACACCTAAGGTGGCGGGTTCGAATCCCCAGCCCGGACCCGCCAAAACAACAATGACGGCTGCAACCAAAAAAAAAAAATAGCCGGGCGTTGTGGCGGGCGCCTGTGGTCCCAGCTACTTGGGAGGCGGAGGCAGGAGACTCGCTTGAGCCCAGGAGTTGGAGGTTGCTGTGAGCTGTAATGCCACGGCACTCTACCCAGGGGGACAGCTTGAGGCTCTGTCTCAAAAAAAAAAAAAAAAAAAACAAAGACAAATGAGGGGCAACCCCTGCTGCCCATGGCTGGCCACACACAGGAGAGACCAGAAGCTGACACCCAACTACACACACTGCAATACAGGCCCTGGGCCATCCTGTTGAAGTCAGAAGTCTGCTAATGAAACTATTCAATTTCAAGCTTTTCAAAGGCTTCTCTAGACTTCCATACCCAATCCACAGCCCTTGAGAATCAAGTGATTTCAAGTTCTCCCCCTCTTCCCTTGTCCACCATGCCCTAGCCCTGGGGACAAGCTGAGACTGGGGAGACCACAGAATAAAAAGGGGAAATCCTACACTATCCTTTACTCTGGGTCTTCTCACATGCTGTTTCTTCCGCCCTAAGCATATTTAAAGTAGCTGTAGCTGACAGAGACAAATGGAAATGAAAATTTAAAAAAAGAGAGAGAGAGAGGATGGGTGTTGTGGCTCACACCTATAATCCCAGCACTTAGTATTTTTTTTTTTTTTGAGACAGAGTCTCACTACATGAGACTTGGTAGAGTGCCATGCCATCTCAGCTCATAGCAACCTTAAACTCTTGGGAGAATCTCTTAAGAGATTTTCTTGCCTCAGCCTCCCACATAGTTAGGACTACAGGCACTCGTCACAACACTCAGCTATTTTTTGTTGTTGTTGCAGTTGTCATTATTGTTTAGCTGGTCCAGGCTGGGTTCGAACCAACCACCCTCAGTACATGTGGCTGGCGCTGTAACCACTATGCTATGGGTGCCAAGCCAGCACTTAGTATTTTGAGAGGGTAAGGCTCAAGGACCCCTTGAGCCCAGGAGTTTGAGACCAACCTGGGCATCTCTACAAAAAAATAAGAAAAATGAACCAGACGTGATACCTCACACCTGTAATCCCAGCACTCTGGGTGGGGGGACTGCTTGACCTCAGGAGTTCAAGACCAGCCTGAGCAAGAGCAAGATTCCATCTCTACTAAAAATATAAAAATTAGCTGGGCATGGTGGCAGGCACCTGTACTCCCAAGTACTCAGGAGACTGAGGCAAGAAGAGCTCTTGAGTCCAAGAGTTTGAGGTTGCTGTGACCTACAATCATCACACTAATATGGGTGACACAGGAGACCCCATCTCTAAAAAATAAATAAAAATACAGACTAGACAGTGATGGATACATTTGTAGGAAGACAGGGAGAAAGCTATTTTCTCTATAAAGAAGGCACAGAGATCTACAACAGGGGAATAACTGGAGTTACTCTTAATATTCTGAAATATACCATGTCCTGTCATATGTATATGAACTTCTCTTTCTGAAACTTTGAAGATTTAGAAAACAACTACAGTTTTACTTTATAGGGGGGAGTACAGCACAGAGGGGAAACATAGTTGTTTCTAGCCTTCAGACTTAGATGTATGGCTTGGATGTGTCAATTCTGTATGTCCTTTGATGAGTTTCCTAGTTTTTCTGGGTCTGATAATGATATCCTAAGGTAGGAGAAGAAACTGAGACCCAGAAAAACTAGGAAAACCTTTACATGCTAGTAAAACAAATGACAATAATACAGTTGTCCCTCAGCATATGTGGGGGCTGGTTACAGGACATCCCCTCAAGCATATCTAAGTCTCAGTGGGTGCCCTGCAGAATCCATGTGTCTGACAAACCAGTCTTCCTCATATGCAGGTTTCACATCCCACAAATACTTCATTTTCAATCTGCATTTGGTTAGAGAAAATCTGCACATAAGTAGACCTGTACAGTTCAAACCTGTGTCTTTCAAGGATCAATTATATTGTCAAAGTATAAGATGCTACTCAAAAATGTAATAAATTAATCCTATAAACACTCAACTAAAATCAAAAAGATAAAACAGACCAAATTAATGAGTCATACTCCCGCAAAAAGTCCATATCCACGAATAGCAATGGATAACTCCTTGCTGTTTGAATCCACGTTTCTGATGATTCCATAGAACTGCTCCATAAAATACTGCAGCTTACTCTTATGCATTTCTGCATTTTTTGCCACCATTAAAGAAACCTGCAATTGCATATTTACTTTTTAGAAATATTTAACAGCAAAACAAAGAAAACTATACAAATATAAAAAAGCTAGAATTGTATACCACTAACATACTGTTACAATTATACACAACTGCTTTTACTTTTAAGGACCTTTTGCTTTAATTAAGTCTCCATCAAGTTTAGAAAAGACAGTCCCTTAAAAAAGGATATGTGATTCAGTTTTCCCTGAGAAAGGGACTAAAAGAGACCAGGGAGATGCAGAGGAAAGTGTGCGTAAGAAAACAGGTTTTGAATTAAGGCTTCCTAAAGAAGCAGAAAAGCAGTCTGTCCCCAGAGAGCCATCAGGCAGCCAGCGAGTTCAGAAGTCATCAACAGAGTTAAGAACAATCAATCAAAAATAAAGACAATGCATCTCACTTTTTGAAAAAACAACCTACAAACTGTAAAGTTTAAATTAAGTAAGGCAAGAGGAAATGTACTCTGAGATGCAAATAGATCACTATTTACCAGACCAAATGATATCCTAAACACAAGAACTAATAGAAATGGTGAAGAAAGGGTGCGAGGGACATCTGGCTGCAATGTTTGTGATCCCATTTATCGTCAGGGTTGATCCGGCTGATCTGGCTAGCTAGGCGGGTGTCCCTTTCCTCCCTCGTCACTCCATGTGGGTCCCTCCTAAAGCTGCTTGCTCAGATGAAGAGGAGAACCTGCTCTAACAGAGGACCGTTCTTCAGTCAAGGGTATCCTAGTAGCTGCACTCTGCACTCTCTGCTAGAACCACCAAACAAGCTTTCAAGCAATGATGAAAAAAGCATTCCTTTTATTTCAGCAGAAAGACTGTACAAGTCAACACTGAAAAGAACCTTAATAAATGTCAAAGGCCGGCTCAGCGCCCATAGCTCCGTGGTTAGGGCACCACCCACATGCACTGGGGCTGGTGGGTTCAAAGCCGGCTTAGGCCTGCTAAACAACAATGACAACAACAACAAAAATAGCTAGGCACTGTGGCAGACACCTGTAGTCCCAGCCACCTGGGAGGCTGAGGTAAGAGAACTGCTTAAACCCAAGAATTTGAGGTTGCTGTGAGCTGTGACACCACAGCACTCTACCAAGGGCAACATGGTGAGACTCCATCTCAAATAAATAAATAAATAAATGTCAAAGGCAGAAAAAAAAAATCTACTACTGATATACTCTCCAACCTCAAACAGTTTCATTATTTCCTTTTTCACACAACATACTTCACATGGGTTGCATATCAGCCCCTCCAAATCTCATGCTGAAAATTTTTATGTGAAACAAAATCTCACCCGTCACTCTGGGTAGAGTGCCCTGGCATCACAGCACAGGGCAACCTCAACTCTGGGGCTCAAGCAATTGTCTTGCCTCAGCCTCCCAAGTAGCTGGGACTATAGGCTAATTTTCCTATTTCTAGTAGATGGGGTCTCTTGCTCAGGCTGGTCTTAAATTCCTGAGATCTAGTGATGCACCAGCCTTGGCCTCCCAGAGTGCTGGGATTATAGACATGAGCTACTGCACCTCAATGGTGCAGGCGGGGCCCAGTGGGCAGTATTTGGGTCATGGACTGTACCCGCAGGAATGGCCTGGTGCCCGCCCCACAGAAATGAGTGAGTTATCTTGTTTACAGAGCCTGGCACCTCCCTGTTCTCTCTCTTGCTCCCTCTCACACATGACACGCCTGCCCCCTTTGCCTTCTGCCTGGACTGGAAGCTCCCTGAGGCCCTCACCAGAAGCAGATCCCGGCACCATCCTTGTATAGTCTGTAGAACTATGAGCCAAATAAACCTCTTTTCTTACAAATTACTCAGTTTCAGATATTTCCTCACAGCAACACAAAATAATAAATTACCATAATCATGTTTCTTAAGATATAAACAAACATTATCTTTATCAATTACAGTACAGTTTTTCTTTTTATAAATATGTAACCATATAAACTATGATTGATCTTCTATTACTATATTTCCAGGAAACATTCATTTTATGCATTTTTATCCAACTATTTTCTATAAATAACAGTAAAGACTTAAAAATAATTATTCAACAATAGGCCGGGCACAGGGGCTCATGCCTCTAATCCCAGAACTCTGGAAGGCTGAGGCAGGTGGATTGCTTTAGCTCAGAGTTTGATATCATGCCTAAGCAAGAGCAAGACCCTGTCTCAAAAAAAAAAAAAAAAAAAAAACAGAAAAATATAGCTGGGCATTGTGGCAGGTGCCTATAGTCCCAGCTATTTGAGAGGCTGAGGCAAGAGGATCCCTTGAGCCCAAGAGTTTCAAGTTGCTGTGAGCTATGACACCATAGCTCTCTATCAGGGGCAAGAAAGTGAGACCTGTCTCCAAATAAATAAATAAAAATAAAAATAGAAAAACAAGTGGGTGTTGTGGTGCATGCCTGAGGTTGCTGTGAACTGTGACAACTGCCATAACACTCTAGCCTGAGCAAAAGAGTGAGACTCTGGCTTAATAAAAAACAAAAGCAAAGGCTCGGCGCCTGTGGCTCAAGTGGCTAAGGCGCCAGCCACATACACCTAAGGTGGCGGGTTCGAATC